TACTAGCGATTGGCCTCCAACCTGCTAGCGATGGCCTCCAACCTGCTAGCGATGGCCTCCAACCTAAAAGCAGAGGCTTCCAACCTAAAATAGCAATGGCCTCCAACCTAGAAGCTATGGTTTCCAACCTAATAGCCATGGCCTCCAACCTAGTAGCGATGGCCTCCAACCTAATAGGAATGGCCTCCAACCTACTACTTGGATTGTTGTCTCTGAATAAGCCAACTACAGTATAGGACTTTTTGTCAGCAGCCGTGCAGGTACAATCTTCTGAGGAAGGGACGGGGAGCCACCTGTGCCATGTTATCGCAAAAGGACATGACATGACATGACATGTTATTGTCAAAACAATCACTTGTTGACCTCTCCCACCCTTGCGATCTGCGCCTCGGAAGTTCTGTGCGAGGCCACACTCTCCCGTACGCTTTGAGACCTCTGGAGCCTTGACCTGCATAGCAAAGCAGGTTTATCACTGGGGAAGTAAGTTATCTTCCGGCTTAGCTGCTAATAGCTAAAGCATTTGGGTGGCTACGCAGTACAGCGGCCACGCAATCTCTACATTGAATCATGCCGGGTGAGCAACGCAGCTATTTCTTGCTGCTCCATTGCTGCCAGGTCCTGCTGCGCCTGCTGCATCTCCTGCCAGAAACTCTGATTCTGGTCCAAATTGCATTTTGTTTGAGACGGGTTGTTCTACTTTTCGGATCTCCTCTTGTAGCTCGGCATATCGCAAGGCATTCCACTCCTCTTTCACAAAACGTTGAACAAAACAACAACTTTGGTTGAGATGCTTAAAGAAGCTTGTCTTACAAACAAATTCTGATCTTGAAATGGAAATGTAAACAACTGCGGACATTTTATGGCAGTCGCAACGATTTAACAGGCGTCATATCCAGAGCTAGAGTTCCAACGTCGGCACTCGCTTCAATTGGCTGCAGTGTGGCAGCTTTCACATCTCAGAGAGCCAAGCCTTCTCAGCTGTCCACATCTCTGGATCGGTTGACTTTGCCCCATACGTCCTTGAAGCTCCTTGCTGCACTGATGTCAGGGAGTAGTCCAAACTCATCTGTCGTGGCATCCTGCCTTCGAATGATCTATCTTGGTCTCTCCAGCTTGTCCAACATCAAATGAATCAAATGCCTTTCTTCAGGCACATCTTGCACCAAGTGTTCTGCAGCTTCTCCTCCTTTTGTAAGTCATCTGGAACGACCAGCATCAACCAGCAGTTCCAATTTCTCCCTGAGTTCAAGAATTGCTGGAACCCAAACATTTTGGTTTTCTTTGCCACTTTCCTCCAGTGGACAGGCGCTGCGCAAGAGTTCTTTGGCAACCTCCGAGTCGCCTGTTGCACTGAGAACCTCGGAAGCTTGTGCCACAGCGGCCGTGATGCCATGAATCGTCTGGTAGAGACCCTTCATGCTCTCCACCACAGTAGCCTTCTGCTTCTTCAGCACGTCCATGTTCCGGTGCAGGGCAGTGACCACGGTGTCGACCTACAGGTTCAAGCGGAACAATTTAGACCATGTTCTGCAGGCATCAAAGGATGTTGAAAAGAACTAGTGAGTATCGAGTTTGATGGCCAACAAGCAAAGTTAAGGGGGTATCCACCCGAGCGGCTGTGTTGTGGCACAAATGGCATGTTTCTTGGGCATGGTTGTAGACGCACTCGTTTAGGCAAAAGTTAAACTCGAAATCTCATGATATGGCCATGCGCATTCCAAGGCTATGAACTGAGAGTTCAATTCTAAAGCATCACCATGCTGAGCAAATGTTTGACGGAGCTCATGCCCGCGCTTGCTCGCTCATTGAAGATAGAGGTTGACCGGAGCAATGGCTGCTTTGTCAATTATTCATTGCTTGATGTCTTTTGGAGTCACACCCCGGGGCACTTCAGTACATGACTAGATGCATTTGGCAGTCAAGCCGAGTGCAGGTGATGTATAAAAATAATTTGTGCATCGCCGGCATTGCGGGATGACATTACGGGATCAATAGGCTAGATTAATTCAAAAAAGCACCGTAGACCATAGATTCTTTAAAAATATGTGTATATATATATATGAAAAACTAATAATGTAAACAACTGATACAAAAGTGGGGATCTTATAGAAATACTTGGTGGGCTTCAAAATGTGTGTCAGAGTGGGACAAGTCAGAGCGGATGTGAGGAGAGTTGTTTGGGGATGTCTGTGCTTAGACCTCTTGCGCGGAGAGCACTTGCATTTTCCTACAAGCGTCTGCATTGAGCTAGTGAAGAGTCGTGAGCACTTGGTAGAAGGAGAGAACAGCTCTCAACTGAGGGCTTTGATGGGCAAGATGGGAGGATGGGGAGAACAGTAGACGAGTAGACAAGCTGCAGGAACATAATAGGGGGCAAGCAACATAGAAAATGAAACAGAACACAAGAAGACATAGACGCTGCCGGCTGCTTTGAAACTTCTACCCCCAGCTTGCCGGAGAATATTACTCTACCTGCAACAGTCGCTTGACCGTCATGTCTGCCTCTCGGCTCTTGGAAATGAAGCTTTGACCATGCTTGGATGAGCTGAGCACCAACGCCTGACATGTTGCAAGAAGCGACCAAAAATGGAGCAAGTGTGTCAGCCTGGAGCTGTTGAGCACACTGTTCTCGTTCAGCTGCCAACTCTTCCTGAGGTAAAATGCGAATTCACATCAATCACTCCCATCTCCAAAATTGCCCAGCCTCATTCGTACGTTGCATCGTGGACCTCTGCACTTCTTCCTGCAAACTTCGCACCTGGTGCATCTCACTCATGGCTTCCAGATTATGTCAGTCTATCTTGGCGAACCAATGCACAACTTTTGAGCAACAAAAGACACTTTGTAAGCTGCGCTCTGATGTTTCAGGTGTTGGTATGCCTGGTTGTGCAATTGGCTGATGATCTCCCTCTGCTTCACGATTAGGGATTGCTCCTTGAGGACTGATCGTGACAAGAGCTCGTGCAATGTCTGACAGTTGTAATTGTTATGGGATTCAAGATGTCTCCACTTTGGATTTGAAAGTCCCTAGTGGCTCGTAGCCTAACAATGTCCTTGCTGATGAGGACAGGCTTTGCCACGCAGCGGACTTCGGCAGCCTTTACTCGACCAAAGAGTTTTTATCATCCGTCCAGAAGTCCATTCACCAGGAACAGTCTACGAGAACACCTGCCTTTTGCGCGAAGCGTAGAGTTGTGAGGCTTTGCTCAACGGCATCTTCTGATGGGGTCAATGTCACCTCTAGTTGAGGAAAATCAAACACAACTTCAATTCAAGTCTCCGTCCCTCTTGTCCGCCGCTTGAGTCGCCCGGCCAACAAGCCAGTCTGAGAGTTTCCATTGAGGTGGACCGAAAGCAAGCGGGTAAGCCTCAGCTGTCTTCAATCTCCAAAACAGCCACAGGAATCTCGAAAAGGGCGGCGCTTGGAATCTCGAAACGGGATGTGCTCGCCATCCTCTGGAGCCTCATCTGCAAACTTGTCACAAGTGTTATAAAATTATGTTTATATCAACTGTTTGCAATCGGATACAAATCGATTAAGTTCTTATCCTTGAACTTCCACGCCCTGCACCTCTTGAGCCACCAAGCCCTGTGCAACTGAAGTCCTCTTGTCTCTCGCAGCAAGCTTTTCAATGACCTGGAGATAAATTAAACGTAAAACACGATCGAATACCCTAGCATTGACGACTGTGGCCTTGCCCAAGAAAAAGAGCGACTTGTTGATGCTGCTGGATTCTGCAACATATTCTGTGCCGGCCTTGCACGAGGCAATTCAAGGAGCTGCGCAGATGCTGCTCCCACTCGCTGCAGCCTCCAATCGCTCATTTCCTGCTAAGTCCACAATGACCAACCGTCCAATTCTCGTCACGGACTGCCCATCATCATCATCATCATCATCAGTCACATCCTGCACAAATGAACTACATGTACAAACATATATATATATATATATATATTTGTTTGTATGTTATGTAGTATGCTTTGTTGACATCATTGTTTGGAAAGGCAACACCTGGCCTCAAGAGGCACTGAGCATTCAACACAAAGAGTGAGGAGTGTGTGAGATCTGGACGACACCTGAGGAGCAAGAAGCTACTAGTAACAAAGGGCATCGCTGCTAGGAGCAAGGACGCTACTAGCAGCTGCTTGCCTTACTACTAAGAGCAAGAAGCTACTAGTAACACAATCCGTTCTCACAATACAATTTGACTCGATCTCACGATACAGTCAACGGAGCTCCTGAGCCGTAGTTCTTTCAACAAGCAAAAGAAGAAATGTCAGGGTATATAGATTAGCTTAGTGCCTCTCCCCTTGCACCTCATTGTACCTTGTATGTGCCACTCTTCTTCGTTTCTCGGCTTCTGCAAAAAGCATCAGGACCTGCCGCTTGCAAATGTCATGTGTTCCTTTGCCAGGCTGCCCACTCACTCAACATTAGATGCAAGAACCATTAGCACTCTGCCTCTTCAGCGGAAGACACGATCTTCTCTTTCAGACCATCTGCATAGAAACCACGACCTCCCATCCAGTCAAAAAAACTAACACACTCTGATCAATCTTCGAGCACTCTGATGCTAGGGCACTTTCGGTGCCCTAATTTCTACCCTTCTCAAATCAAACAAACGTTACTCCCATTTCCTCGCCTTCCGGATCCTCTTTTACCACTAGGTTCTGGCCTCGACTCGTGCGCAACCGGGATTTGGATTGCTTTGAAGAAATTGCTCCACCAAACCGTTCCAAACCAACAGGAGAGAATGGTGAGAACAAAAGCACTGCACTTGACAAAGGCCTGTGGGAAGGCTACGAAAAACCGATGTAATGAATCAAGTAATTACATCCCTCAAAACTTAACTTGTGTCCTACAACAGAGGTTGAACGACCAATGGAACCAATGTTCCATCTCAAAGGAAAGTAATGATTGTAAAGGCTGCAGAAATGCTGCAAATACTGTTGGTGCTGATCAACCAATATTCTGCAACCAAAAACACAGCGTGATGCGTTGTAGTTTGTCAGATCGCCTTTGTGACTCATTCAAACCAAACCCAGCCCTACTGCGTTAACAAAGAGCAAACTCAGGCTTGCGCTTTGCGGGCCAATCTTTCTCAGCAAGTCATTGACCTGGGTGATGCACCAAAGCACGCGTGGAAGCACCTCTTTCCTGTTTGTATTGAACCAATCTGACAGAATCCAAAACCACCAGAAGCTACCTGCGAGAGATCTAACAGGGTAGGGTCGTTGTTCGAGCCGAATGCTCCACAAGTTAAGTCTGTCACACGCTCCATGTATAACTCACAATAGGACCTCAGCTCAGCAAAGTTCGAGGACTTGATGAAGATCGGAGGATTGCGGCCCGCAGAACAATCTTGTGCTGGAGAAGCTCAACACTTCAAAAAGGTCCCTGCAAAGGTGTCTTCGACTTCAAAAAGGTCTCTGCTTGAATTCGACCCATTGAATGCCCCCTCTGCTGAAGAGACTTGTAGAACAACTTCCTAAGACAACGGCATTCGCACCAAATACTCCATTCCCTTTCCTTCTTCAGCCTTTCCAGCGCCAGTCATTACAACATCATTCCAACCCAAAAACGATGAAAAAGGAAGTCGTTTGGGTCCCTTTTATCAGGCCTTGTCAAAGGGGGGGTTCTCAAAGGGACCCAAGAGAGCTCCAGGCCTTCTTGGTGAGCTGCCCAAACAAATCGTCCAGTGCAAAATGGATGATCCCTTAGTCAAGACTTCCGGACAATCCCCCCAAGTCCCTAAGTTTTCATATATTATATATTCCTTGCATTGACTTTGCAGTGCACGAGTGAAAAAGGAAAAAGGCTGTCTGAGTTCGCATCCCTTGTTGGGTTCTCCATCGTAACTTACAGCCTAGGCTCTGACAATCACGCAGCTTCCTTTGTGTCCCATGCATCTGAATACTGTGTCCCATGCGGTGGAGCCGCTGATGGAAAAAGTCTTTCCTCAGTCTTAAGCCCAGCAATGTGCTTCCGTTGACGAAAGCTTTCTCTCGTTCATATTCCAACTGAGTGCAGAGTTGATTAGTTGGCTTAGTCCAGGTCCACTCGCAGTTTGCCCATAAGCAAGGATTGCACCATTCATGCCCTGATTTGTAATGCAGTGCTTGTGTGTTCAACACTCAAGGTAATTCCTACCTACTTGTTGCTACCTAAGTCCTTGCCTCTGCGGCCCCGAAAACGATGCTCTTGAAGGCCTCTTCGTAGACCTGCACAAGCTCAAGCACTTGTGACAACTGTGTTGCTGACAACCAGGCATTAGCCAAAACAGCAAGCAAACTGCCTTGACACGGTCTGTGGAGTAGTCACACCGCCTGTTGTGTGGAAGCTTCCTCGCCGAAAACATGATCCATGATGGTTTCACCATCTGGTCGGCCTCGGAAATTGCAAGAGCTCTGGCTCGAAGGCCCCCAAAAGGATACATTTCTGTTTATCCACATTGACATGACACCTGCACTGTTCGTCCCCACATTAACAATCCTTCAACACTACATCCTCACGCTCTGACTTTCTGGAAACTGGATCTTCCACCTGGGAGACCCCTGCGCAAGTGATCCAAGTTTCGAAGCTCTCCACGGGTTTTCAGCCTGGGTGAATCCAATGAAAATGGACTATGTCCAGTGTGATCGCAAGAAGGGTGACCTAACATAAGGCACGTAAGGAACCTAATAGCGATGGCCTCGAACCTAAGAGCGATAGCCTCCAACCTACTAGCGATGGCCTCCCCCTAATAGTAAAAAGAGTGACAGAACAAAGTTAATGTCCGCTCTCCCAAAAATGCCCTCTATGTACAGTAATTCCCTGCTATATACACTCATTTGCTGCAAGTTGCAACCCTTTTCATCATCTTACATTACAAATTTATATATATATAGATATGTTTCATGAAACTGAAACAAGAGAAACCTCAGCTTCCTAATCTGCAAACCCTGTGACAAATCCTGTATTGCATGGTTGCACCAACATATGACTATTCCGCTTGATAAAAATAGTTTTGTCGCAAACTCCTTCCCTGTGTCCATCTCTTCCTCTTCCTCTTTCATCTGTCCTCTGTCCTCTTTCTTCTTTCTTGTTCTTCTCTCTTCTTGTGTATCCGCCGACCCTGGCCGACGCAAGGGGGAGCGCGCCAGGGAATAATGATAGATCCGCCAGAACTCAATCGTTTGGAGCAGAACTCAATGGGTTAAAGCCGTGGCGAAGGGGTGGTTTCAGATGCTTTTGGGAGGCTGGAAAGCTTTTGGCAGGCTGTTGGTGGAAGCTTTTTGGGAGGCTGGTTAGTGGTGGAAAATGCTAGCAAATTGTTTTTTT